CGGCATTTTTTTAAATGCCAAAAATGTTAGAGTTTTCATTAAAATGTAGTGTCAAGTCGTGAAAGCGAAGTTTGTGGTGTGTGACCACAAATATTATTTAATTGCTGGAGATACCGCAAAGGGCACCTGAATTTATAAACTATGTTGGTTTTTTTTGAAATACGCTAACCAGGGGGGAAGAATCATTAAGTAAGTATTAAGTTGGATATACTAGATTTAGTGTAGTATGATTGATTTAATGTTTTGCTAAGTTTGTAGTTGATATATTAGAATTTACTAAATTTTTAGTATGTGTTCATCTTGTTTATAATTAGTATGCATTTGATTACGATATAGGAGATTAATATATTTGAGATCAGTAGAAGCTATATTACGTACAATTTGCTTATTATTGAGATTTCTAAGAAAGCATCTATTTGTTCATCAACTATATTGTTTGAAAGCTATTATTAATAAGTGTCTGTATTATATTCTTTAGTTCACTAAAAAAATCTGTTTGGTGGATGAATTAGTTTCTGCAACGATGTATTAGATTCTTTATAATTGCTATTTTGTAGTAATATGGGCATTCGCTCTTGTAGTTAAGTGTACATGAATTTATGCTTGTAGGTTTTTGTATGTTGAAATAGTAAATTTGTTATTATTTGTATTTATCAATATGTCAAGGAAGGGATTTTATTATTAGTATTGAGTTCATATGTGAATTTAAGGACAGAATTATTTTGGAACCGTTTTTGAAGTTGAATTATTTCATCTGTATTTTTAACTAACATAAGAATATCATCAACGTATCTTAGGTAGATTGATGGTTTTTTAAAATCTGTAAATAACTTATTTTCGAGGTTCAACATGTAGAAATTGCAATTTAAGTTCTTAAGATTACATATGAAAAAACTCCGTCCTTAACTTTACCTACAAACATATTAAAAAAAATTAATGGCCACAATGTGCTGTTTTCAGAAAATAAAAATCTCTATAACACTAAAAACACTACACATGCACTCAATTAAATTACAATGCACACTACACATGCACTCAATTAAACTGAAAAAATAAAATCATCCTGGATAATGGCTAAAAGTATAGCTGAAAGCACTTGGAATTATAGAACATTTGGGCAGTTTCTACACACTCTCTAAACCAAAAAGAAAACATGTTAGATAACCACATGTTGTCCCAAGCCTTAAATACAATTTCCATTGGTATGGTTTCCAAAAAAGATCATACCACAGGTTGACCCCAGCCCTGTGAGTGAAGTTGAAAGAACTCTTGTGGGTCATTGATAGCTTTGCTAGCACAAAGCCACAAGTCATCGTGGGCTAATGATGTTGAGGGCTTGAGCATGCTGGCTATGTTCAAATTGTTGATCATGTTAGATAATATGCTCTCTCCCAGAAACTGCTAGCATAGTTGAAGTATAAACCACAGGTGGGCTGAGCAAGTGTTTGCAGTGGTATCCTCGAATAGAAGTGGCCAGCTATTATATATATATATATATATATATATATATATATATATATACACACATGTGTATATGTATGTATGTACGTACGTTGTATATGTATGTATGTACGTACGTGTGTATATGTATATATATGTTTGTATATATATGTCTGTGTGTGTGTGTATATATATATATATATATATATATATATATATATATATAAATTCAAGTCCTAGTCCTAGTTAAGTTTCAAGCAAGTCTTATGCTATTTGGATTAAAAGATCTGATCTCCTCCCATATAATTTATATTTTAAGGTGATATTATATTAGTCAATTTGTTCTCAATGCTATAAAGAATTGTACACCTCTACCTTTGTTTTATATTATATTTCTCCATTAATTTATCTGCAAAACATAAATCAATAATTTTTTATTGCATGCACATTATACCTTATTGATAATTATTGTATTGATTAAATTAGTAATATAATGAAATATGTTGTTAGTCAAATAATCAACTTTGTAAAATAAGTACAAAAAATTATTGATTGTAAGGATAAAGAGCAAACCAGCATCAGGGCTTTACTGCAGTAATATTTGATTTGAATTGCAAGATTTTTAAAATTTATGAAAAAAAAATCAATAATTTGTTAAAACCCAAATCTAAAAACTTTGTTTAAATGACCCATTTTTTTAAAAATTGCTTATCATAGATATATATCTGTTATGACAACATAAAAATGACTAAAACACCTGTTTCATTTAGTGATTGCTGTGTTTGACTTTTCCATTTCCTTTTGTAACACTATTATAAAAATGGATTTTAATAACTAAGTTACCATGTTGTATTAGATAAACTATCAATAGGATTTTTATTGTACATAAAAATCATACTTATATTGTACATAACATTCTTTCTTAAATTGTTCTTTTAAATAAGCAAAACTTGTAAAAATTTTGAATGAAAAGAAAACTTTTAATTTCAAACATTCAAAATTCAAATTTTTACTTTTTAGCAAGCGTCGCCCATGTGACAGAAAAATGACCATGCTAAACGGAAAAAAATCATTTAAAAATTTTCAGTTATCTGTTTTGGATAAGACTTGTTTTTCCTATGTCCATCGTCTTTGTCAAATTGAACTGAATTGTATTTTAATGAATATTGTCTTGAAGAAGGTTTATTAAACCGAAACGTCAGACGTCGACATTTCATTCATTTTAAAACAACATAATTGCATTTAATGATTTTTGGTTTTGTTTTTTTCCAAATTTTTCTTCAATATATATATATATATATATATATATATATATATCTTTTAAATTTAATTCTGTATTTATTTTCTTTCTTCTTGTTATCTCTCTTTTCTCGTTATTAATGTTTTTCTTTTTTATTTATTTATTTATTTATTTTTTTGAATTTTAAAATGATTTTATCTTTTTTTATGTTTGTCTTTAGGAACAAACTTTTGAACATTCCATGTATTATTTTTCATGGTTTCTCCAAGCATTATTAGATATTCTTTTTAAATCGTCGCTGAATTGACCGCTGGAATGTTCTTTTCTACAAGAAGTGAATGTTGGACTTTAATTAATTTAAATCTTTATATTTCCATTCCAGATTCCCTTTTTTAACCCCCCTGACTCATATTTTTTTGCCTTTATCCGTCTATAAAAATCCATATGGACGGGTTTAGGGAATGCTCAAGCATCTCCAACTACCCTCTCCACGCAAAGTGACTTTTAGACCTAACCCCTGCCCACGAGCGATCTATACATTCATAACTCGCTCCGTGGCTCCTAACCCAGCATGGCTCTCCAGTTGTTTCTTGCAGTGCCATGTCGCACATGGATGGGTGCCCCAGCATGCAACTTTGGTGGGCAACTCTGATGCCACATTATGTTTCAGTCTGTGACAGTTCCTTTCTGCTCGTGCCATATTTGATGGTTGACTATTTCTATTACATTAGGCCTTTTCCTCATCAACGTAACTCAACATGATAATAAGCAACCAAAAATATAAACCTAAATCGGATAAAAAAATCACCAAAACCTTTTAACATTTCCTTCTCCAACATCCGTGGTATTCATACCAACTTCTTCAGTGTGGAATTGTTCTTCTTTGATAAGTCTCCTGATATACTAACCCTCTGCAAGACAGACGTTAACTCACCAATCCTTGAATATTATGTCTTTGATGATTTTTCGGGTTCATCCAAGCACTGGACATTATTTTGTTTACTCATGACTCAAAGGTGTGGAGGGATTCTCTTCTACAAGAAGTGAATGTTGGACTTTAACTAAGTTAAATCTTTATATTTACATTCCAGATTCCCTATCCATAACCCCACCCACTCATATGCTTCTCCTCTATCCATCTCTATTTACCAACCTCCCCACAAGACAAGATGTGGCACAAGGCCAGTTTTTAACGGTGGGCGTTCCCAGCCCATAGCCTCGGGCAAAAATTGCTCGTAGACACCGTATACACGGGGTCGAGTTTGTTTACCTCCCGAAAAGAGATTCTGCCCTTTGGCATAGTCTCGTCTGAGTTCCACTCCGCCCGGAGGCAGAGAGTTCGACAAGAGAGGAAGAAGAAGAGAAAGGCTCCCCCTTGTCCTCCTTTATCTCGTCTATCCATTTTTTACAATCCATATGGTTGAGTTTAGTGAATGATCAAGCATCTCCTTTTACCCTCCCCTTCCAATGTTCAGACCTCTAGCCCACATTTAAGTACGACTCCCTCTCTTCTCCCCCCCACTCAAGTATGTAATTATTAGTAAAACTTGTATCACTAAACAAAATTGCAAACAAAATATTTAGATCTCGGGTTGAAATAACCCATAGAGGTGTTGATATACCGCTAAACAAAAACAACCAACGGCCAATCACATGTTCGCTCTTTAAGTGCTAAGACTTGCTTGTCTCTTGACCTCTGGGGTTGAGACTAGGGGTCAGCACGTAGAAAACAATGCCGAATAAATCAATATTATCGCCCCCTCCTTAAAGTTCTTAGAATCTAAAAATATTTTCTGGCATTAAATAGCCTGTAAATGGTTGATAAACTGTAAAAAACGTTGGATTGATTCTCTTCTATAAGAAATTAATGTTGAACTTTAACTTTGAAAACCACTTATCTAAAATTAAATCTGAAATTATTATAGGTTTCTATCTAAGTAGCATTAAGAATCTGTAGTCCTCAATATTTATATTTAAGAAGAAACATACATATAAATATACATTCAAAAATATATATAATAACCATATCATTTTTTACCCATAATGCAAGAAGAAAGGCATACAGAATATACAACCGAAACAAAACTAATAACATAATCTGTAATAGTAAATCACATGAAAACAGATACATAATACTACCGACCAACTCTGTCACGTCCACTATCCAGAATAACCTATCCCATCTAAATAATCTTGAAATAGTCAGAAACACCTCCAAAAACATTATGGATATACTCAGATTCTCAAACACTAATAGCAATAATATTTCTGAAGCAGGCATTTATAAAATAAATATCCAAAACTGTTCCTCACAATATATTGGAGAAACAAGTAGAAGTTTAAAAAAACCCATTTATGAGCACAAAAAGAGACCTCAAAAAACACCTTAGCTAATTCACTAGGCATACATAGAAATAAATTCAATCACAATTTTGATTTAAAAATGCTACTCATAAAAAAAAAAACAACTCAAAAATTCAAAAATCCTAGAGAGTGCTGCCATTGAATAAACCCAAATATTAATCTACGCTCAGGCTTTTTCTCTATTTCACCTTTTCAGAACAGAATTACTACTGTTTCAAACAAACGTAAAAAAATAATATCGTGAAATCAAAAGAAAATGGTTGAATCTGTCAACACAGCAATAATAACAATATCTCCACACGTGACAGTAATTGACGTAATTTTCAGTTAACAGTATGAAAATAGCATTCTCTAAATTCTTCCATTTGCAAAACATTTTGTTTTTGTTATTATTAGTTACTTTGTTTAAATAAATTCATTTCGTTTTTTGCCTTGAAAAAGTTCAAAATGGACGAAAAAAATCGTTAAATAAAAAAGTTTTCCTATTGTCATTTATATATATATATATATATATATATATATATATATATATATATATATATATATATATTGTTTCTTTTCCACCGCAGTAATGTAGTTTTCCTGTGTCTTTTTAATAAATACTTCCATGGTAACTCTTCATACCAACTTTCCTCTTTTGGTAACTAGACTTTTGAATTTAAAGCTTAGTACTAGATTTTAATTGGAAAATTTCGTCATTTTTGCAGTTGAAATAGCTAGATGTAACCGTAAGTTTTTCCACCGATAGTTTCTTCTATTGCATTTTTTCGCTTTCGGCTTTCCAGTCAACTTCGATCTACAAAATTTAAATATAATGCCAATCATTATCAATCTTATTTCACCTTTTTTTCTTATCCTCTCATCTTAATAGTATTTTTTATTATACTCTATAACACTCAATAAACCTATTGCGTCTTAGTGGCTTTATTGTCTTGCTTGAGTTGAAATGATTAGGAATATACAAGAAATAATATTTATATGTGCATGTGTGTGTGTGCATTAATAAATATACATACACCGTTTGTACTACTCGGAGTTTCATCAGTATCTGTCTATATTTCTGAGATGAGGTATTATGTACACTATTTACGTCATTCGGACTATCGTCCTCATCTTTGTTGCTATATTGATCACAACGTTTCGGCCGATGTACGCCCCGGCTTTTTTCAGGTGGTTGGAATGTCGAACAGAACCTCTTATTTCGTTCTCTGGGGTAGACTTTTCTAGTTCCACGTGCCATATCAGTTATGAGTTATCTCCTGTTAATTCCCATTTCATAGAACCAATGCCTTTATCCACTGTGCCATGTGTCCTTAAGGATATATGTCTATGAATTTCTGGTACTTATAAACTTAATGTCTTCAGTAACCTATTTTTTACCAGTGCGCATATTGCAATTTTTGCTGTTATCATTGCATTTTTTTTACCAGAGCTCATATTGCAATTTTTCGTTGTTGTTATTGCTTTTCTCTTGCATTCATTGTAACTGGTTTCTATATTGTATTCATTTCTATGCTTGGTCGGCTCAGGAGATTTTTGTAGCCTAGCATATGTGCTGATTTCTTAAGTTTACGAATTTCCCAATATGTTCTTTGTTTATGATCTCAACCTGATCCCACAGAGGGCAGTGATCTCCCTTCTCTCTCTATATGTGGTCAGCCACGCCTGATTTTTCCACTTCCCCTCGTGTTGCAGCTTTCTGGTGTTCTTGAAGCCTTACCTTGAGGGGGCGGCCTGTCTCTCCTTTATATTCCTTTCCGCAGCTGCACGGGATAGCGTACACACAGTCTTTAGTCATGTTCTTCTCTATGTGGGGGTCTTACTCGGGAGAGATATCTCCGAAGTGTCGTCAAGCTTTTGAAGGTTGTTTTGATGTTATATGGACCGCAGATCCTTTGTATTTTCTCTGATAACCCCTTCACATAAGGCAGGCAGACTATTTTCTGAGTGTTGTTGTCCTCCTCTTGTACCCTCCTATCCCAGTTTATTGGTGCTGCTGCCATGAACCCAGGTTAGTTGTTGCGTTGGAAGGTACTGCTTAATACTGAACAAGTCTTTTTCTAATGTCTCTGGGTCGCCATTTATGACTTTTGCTCGGTGTTGTAAGCAGCGGACGATCCCTTACGCTGTATGGATGGTGGGAGTTGAAATTGAGGTACTGTCTGATTTGCGGTATATGGATGCCTTGAACCCATGCTTTGTTCGAGATATTATATCATTTAGGAATGAGAGTGTGTTGTTACTCTCTTTCTCCATCATGAACTGTATCGAAAGTCTTATTGAGTTCACTTGGTCCAGTAGAACGTAGACGTCTTCCTGGTGTGGCCAGAGTATGATGGTGTCATCTACGTACCTTAACCATAGAGTTGACCTTAGAGATATACATTCTAATGCCATTTCCTCAAAGTATTCCATGTATATATTCACCATTGCTGGTGATAATGGCGAGCCCATTGCTAAGCCCTCATCCTGTCGATATATATATATGACCCCATTCCGTAGTGTTTTGTTTGTGTACAGACAGTCAACATTTCCATCAGATTATCAATTGGAATACTGGTCCATTCTTCTAGGGATAAGTCAGAGGCCAATCTGTCTCTGATTACTGAGAATGCCTCCTCCGTGGGTATCTTGGTGAACAAACTCACCACGTCCAAGCTCACCATCTGGTTGGATAGGATGGGGGTATCTTTGTTTATTTCCACGAAGTGGGCGGAGTTCCGAATATATTAAGGTGACTTTCCGATCAATGGGTCAATTATATTTACAAGGAAGCGACTCAGAGGGTGGCACACAGAGCCTTGGCAACTAACAATCGGCCTGAGCGGAATACCGTCTTTGTGAATCTTAGGGAGACCGTATATGTGAGGTAGCTTAGTGTAAAACTGCGATAACTGCCTATACGGCTTAGGTGCGAAGTGATCCTTGTTCTTGATTAGGATCTGTGATAGTTTGCGTTCCGTTTTCATAGTAGGATCCTTTTTCCCTTTGCTGTAGCTACCATTGCTAATGAGGTCTTCCAGTTTTCTTGTATAATCTGATGTGTCCATTAATACAGTCGCATTACTTTGTCAGCCGGTAGTATGATGATGTTTTCGTTCCTTTGTAGGGATCCAATCGCCAGCCTCTCCAGTTACGCGATGTTTGGCATGGGCGGCTTGACGTTCTCCAAGGCCTGTCTCACCTTCCA